TAATAATTTTCTCTAAGAACAGAAAAATCAGTGTCAGAAAGAAAAGATGAAAAGAGAAAGACTTATAATCTCAATACTGTTGAAGAGAAAGATGATTCTCTGAAATAAATGAATAATTATCTTATCATGAATATTTAAAATAAATATAATAATCAGTGTCTGTAACTGAGCTTCAGATTATTGTGTTATATATAGTCTTCATATAATAAATTATTCTGAGAGTCAGTAAGAAGAATGAGAGTGTATATACTGAAAAATATAATTCATTAAGTCTATATAATATCTTCTTAAAACAGGGAGAGCTGATAATGAAAGCAGAGATAATAAAACCAGAAGTAGTGAAAGTGAGAATTGCAGGAACAGAGATAGTGAAAGCAGGAGAATCAGACACAGAAGCAGGTGTAGAAGATTGAGAAGAAGCAGCAGAGAAAGAAACAGAGAGAGCAGAGAGAAATATAGAAGACTCAGTTATACATAGCACAGATAATTTCTTTATTATCATGTTCTTTAAGTTCTCAATCAATGATTTAACATTGAGTTCACTATCATTGATGAACATGAATCTGTCAATGTGTGAGAATTCTATGTGAATAAAAACAATATATCAGCATCTGCATTTATGCAAAATTATGCCAGAAAACATGATCAGAAACCTGCTGAGAAGGAAATGATTGAAAGTGTATAAGAAGATAAAGAAGATGTGCTATTCATGATAGTATGTTCTGACAATTATTAGAAGATAAACAAGTTCTGATTATATTTCATAATGCATTATACTTACTGCTAATGAACTGCCTGATATGAGCACTATGATAATGCTTATTATGAGAATGAAAGATCATCATCAGAAATGCATACAATGTAATAGATGAACAGATGAAAAGAGTTGAATAGAAGAAGAAATAGAAATCTTGAATGAGATAGTGATATTCAATGATGACAATGATGAAGAAGATGATTGAAGAATGAGAAAAGTTAGTGAATGAGTGATATAATATAGTGAAAGTTTCTTTATGAGGATATACACAGAATGCTAGCTGAATCAGAGATAGATCACAAGATCACAAATGCTAGTGACACGCTAATCCGCATGAAGCTAGGATGGATGTCATGATCACATGAGTGTGACCGAATCTGGTGGGGGAGAATGTAGTTCAGAAGAATGTACAGTGGTTCAGAAGAATGTATGACTGTCAGATAATAATACAGCTGCTTCTGAACTTGCTTATGAGTGTAAAGAGGCCATAGCGGCCGCTAATTAATTTAGCGTACAATATATAAGACGCCCGCGTACGCCTGTAATTGTACGCTGGCTCAAGCAACCTTTGAATCACAATATCAATGACAAGAACTGTCAAATCTGTGATGAGATTCTTCATGAATTTTGCAGATGATGATTATACACTATATAATGAAATCAATCTCTCTACTCATGAAGAAGCTAATTATTGAATGAGTATTACAGATAATGCTACACACTACAGATGAATTATTTTTATAATATCAAAGAGTGAGATCACTGCATATTTGATGATCTTTATTAACAGAATTGAGATCACTACTCAATATTAAATTGAGACTTTACACTGAAATGACAGAGATGAATTTAAAAGTGATGAATTAAAGATCTACTATCAGTGAAAAAAAATCATATATGAGATTACTATATCTGATACATCACAGTTCAACAGTCCTGCAGAACATGTTAATTATATTGTAGATGAAAAGACAAGAAGCTTACTATTTAACAGTGAACTCATAAGAGAACTTTGAGATGAAGCTATTCAAGCTGTGATTATAATGATTAACACATTCTCAATATTAACAAAGATTTACAGGTGTCAGAGAGAGATCTCATTATTTTCTTTTAAAGCTTGAACAGATGTTCAATCTTCTGCTCATTGAATATGCAGATGAGAATGTAAGATGTATAAGAAGAATCTGAAGATTATTAATAAGCTTATAGATAGAACTGATAGTAAGTAATAATAATTAGTTGAATATTAAGAACTGTATTAATATCATATCTGAGACTCTGCAATCTGAAAGCTTGAGATTACAAGAGATATTGTTTTTGATAAAGAATTAACAATAGAAGAAGCACTGATAAATATCATTAGAGAAGTAGTCAAACTGTCAGAGAAATTGAATATTCTTAACATTATAAAGAAATGATAACACTGTCTTCTAAGAAGACTTATAAAGAATAAACCTGATATTTTAAAGATGCTTACTGATGATGATATGAATGATATACTAGAATCAACATATCTACTAGATGATGAGACAGAACTTATTAATAATGATATGAATGACTCTGTGAATGATGAAGATTCTATACTCAGTATTTTTAATAACTGTCTGATCACACTGACAGAGATCAAAAGAAGCTATGACTGAGAACATTGACATCAGACAAGGAAGAAGAAAGTGAAAACTTTTGAACAGAAGAAGATATATATTATTATTGAAAAAGCTCTGAAAATGAACATTCTTACAGATAAATAAGTATATGATCAGAAATTGAATAACAAGAATGAAATTATTCATTTTAGAGCTCATTGAGTGATTAGAGAATTTCTACAATAACAAGATATTCATTATAATAAGTTATATACAGCAGTGATGTCTGAATCTACATCACAGAGCTTATTCACTATATTAATAGTAAGAGATTGAAAAGTCAGATTGATTGACTATGTATCTGCATTTTTAAATAAGATATTGCTTCAGAATGAGATGATATTTATATAACTACTCATAGAGATTAAGCACAGTTATGATGAATTAGTAGAGCTTGTATATCAGAGCTTATACAGAATGAAACAGATAGTAAGAACATAGTATTTCCTTATAATAGAACACTTGATGAATTTAGAATTCAAGATCTTATCATATAATGATGAATTTCTTTATTATTCAATTCATAAGTTATTCTTAACACTACATATCAATGACTGTTGAATCACAGAGTCTGAAGAGAGTGAAATTAAGTGAATTTTAATGAAAATCAGGAAAAGATTTGAGACAAAAGAAGTCAAACAGAATAAACCTTATCTAAGAATGAAGATTAAATATCAGAGAAATGACAATCTAGCAGTTACACAGAGCTGTTATATTAGAAAGATTCTTGAAGATTTCAGCATGAATAAGATGAATTCTGCAGAGATCTCTATGATAATAGGCATACAACTGAAATTTTCATCTGATGAGAATGATGAATTGAATGACAACTTTACAGCTATAAGATATTATCAAGAATTGAAATCATTGCAGTATTTGATCTCAAGCAGTCAGCCAGACCTAGCATTCACAGTCAACTATCTCTCATGTTTTAACTCATGTTCACACAAAGCATGTTGAGCAGCATTGAAGCATGTTCTACATTATATCAAGAAGATGAAAAATCATGGCATATTGTACAAGAAGGAGATAGGAAATGACCTGAGTTCTGTGATATATTATGATTCAGACTGAGCAGGGGTGAATTCTCAATACAAATCAACTATCAGCTATGTTATATTGATTAATAAGTCATCAATCTCATGGCAGTTGCAGAGACAGACATCTATCATCAAATCAATCACAGAAGCTGAGTATATTGCAGCTAGTGAGACAGCTTGTGAGATAATCTGATTGAATGATATGTTATATGATGCCAGGTTGATGAATGATGAAAAAGCAAAAATATACTTGCATCTATGAGTTGACAATAAGGGAGTAATCAATCTAGCAAAGGGGGAATCCTTAACACACAAAGGTCGCGCCACATTGAGATCAGATATCATATTCTCCGCGATTTGATTGAAAAAGGGGAAATCATGATGGAACATGTTGATTCTACAGTGAACATAGCTGACAGCCTCACCAAGCCACTGGCGAAGCCTGCATTTGAAGATTTTGTCAAAAGGGTTGGCATTCAGGAAATTGAGAAGGAATGATTGAATGGTAATGATGATACAGCGGATCAATGGATTTTGCATGTATTTCTTGATTTTTACGGTTATTGCCGTACAGACGCCTTTCCTAATGAGGAAATCAGGGTCCGATTGATGTAATTAATTATTATTGTGTTTTTGAAAGATTTGAGGATGGGAGAGGCCCCGGGTGGCGGCTTATAGACCACGGTGTAGCAAGGGGGGGTGTTGGTGATTACTACACCTACCCTAGTCACGTGCCACCCCAACCTATTTAGTTAACTCGCGTAGTTAGAAATACAACACAAAAACGTTATCCTCCAAGACGTTGGGTGGTTGATTACGTTACTTCTGCACTAATAATAGCTTAGTTGTTTCACTACTACGCGTATTTTCTCACACTCAGACAGGGGATAAACCGTAGCGAAATGCTTGCTGGACATGCACTGCCAAGCTAGCCACCGGTTTGTGTGAGATTTTAGTTCGATCTCTAGAACCACTGAGGACATGCCAACCACTCTGACGTGGAAATGGTGATTTTTTCCGTCCAATACCAGCACGAGAAAAACACTAATCTTGAGGGTCGATACTGGATTGGGCAGTTAAGGTGGCGAGGTTGGCTCCCTTGATGATCGTGTTGTACCGGCTGCCACCAGGCCGGCGGAATGTGGAGATAATTGCATCCAGTGCCAGCCACGGATTGGCCACAACCCCTCCGGAACAAAGCCATTCTCCCCATTGGCCCAGGGTATTTTTGCGCCGGAGCAGAGCCGGTCGTGAACGAGCAGCCTCCGCGCTGTTGTAAAGGCTCTCATGCAGCGCTCTAGCACCGAATTGAGCTGAAGTATGGAGTAGGAGCAACTCTTTTGGCAGGGATCAGGGATCCAAGGCCTCGCCTGTGATGATATTTCCCAACTCGGCTCCCAGGTTGTCGGCGCTTCGCACTGCATGGTGATTGTCCGAATTCCTCTTTATTCCCCTCGTTTGGAGTCCCGTCCGTTTTCCCTTTATCAAGGCGGTCAAACCCAAACTTTGAGAGCTGCACCCACTTTGTGCAGTAAAGACAGTACGTCCACTTAAGATATGGCTGAAACAGAGGCTCCTCCCGCCGTTCCCGCTATCGCGGCGGAAGATCGAGAACATGACAATTTGGTGGTTGACCCAACAGTATGCAGAATCCTTCCTTTTATTCATATCCTCTTCTGGGAGCGGGTTTAACCGGGAATACAGATTGATGACTCGGATTCGACATATGGAGATGAATTGTGAGCCAAATCCTTCTCATGATTTCCGCCTGATGCTGCCGCTGGATGACATATGCTGACTGACCGCGATTGAAGATCTGTTTATACCGCTTCGGTTACATCAAGTGTCACGGACTATCAGAAGTCTGTTAGCCCGCAGTTCCCTCTAATCTTTAGCTATGTGGTCAAACTGTTTGTATTGACATCTATCTTAGGGAAAACGGTATGGGCATTATAACAGAAAGCCAAACGCGAAATACTATCATACTTATTATTTTGTGTCTGCGCAGGTCGAAGATACCATGCCTACAAAGAAGGACGTTAGTAAACCTTTCATAAATTTTCTAAAAATGTAGATTTTAAATTGCGAAATGTGAAATCATCCATCTGATATCACTTTAGGATATATGCTCCCTAACGATGAGCAGGAGAACGAGCGGCTTGACATGCATCACGCACTTATTCGGGTCACCATGAAGGATAAATTGTTTTTAGCCCCCATCGGAGATGCCCCAGGTCGGGTGATTGATATCTGTACTGGGACTGGCATCTGGGCCATTGAGTTTGGTACGCCCTCCTTTTCTAGTACTTTTATTCGCTACCTGAGCTAACTGTATATTCTTAAGCCGATTTGTTCCCATCCGCTGAGGTACAGCATGCCCTCCTCTAGACGTCCTATAACATCTTGCTAAATTTTGCTGTCTGCAGGTTATCGGAAACGACCTCAGCCCTATCCAGCCCAAACTGTCCGTCTCATGTTCTTCCAAATCCATCCTCTAGTCCTTTTGTGACTCGAATGTATCCTAACATTTAAGGACAGGGTTCCTCCAAATGTCAAGTTCATAATCGATGATGTTGAAGACGAATGGGGCTATGAGAATGATCCGTTCGACTTCATCCATGCTCGCTACCTCACTGGCGGTGTTAAAAATATGCCGCGTTTGCTGGAACAGGCATTTGCGTATGACTAAACCTTTCACTCTCAAGCATTTCAAGATATTCGATGCTGAGGATTTTGTCTTTTTCACAGCTGCCTCAAGCCCGGTGGATGGGCCGAGTTCCAAGACTGGGATGCCATGGTGCAGTCTGCAGATGGCACGACAAAAGGCACCAGCATCGAGCGCTATTTCACCAGCACGCTTCCGGCATTCGAGATGGCTGGTTACATCACTCGACCGGGCATATATCTTGAGAAGTGGATGAAGGATGCGGGATTCGTTAACGTCCAAGTTCACAAGCACCTCGTCCCGGTCGGAACATGGGCGAAAGACAAACATTTTGTTCGTTTTCTTTTGTTTACTCTTCTTGCTCCTTTCCCGATTCCGATGCTTCAAAATCTTACTACATGGACACCTGGCTTCCGGTGCGGAATATGCTAAGCAGCTGCTAACTACCCGCCCCCCTTTTCCTGCTTTTAGAAAACTGTTGGTGCCTATAACCTGCTCCAGTTCGAGGAATCCCTGGAAGGTAGCGCGGTGGCCGCGTTGACGCGCATCGGAAATTGGTCCAAGGAGGAAGTCGACATCTTGATTGCGAAGACGAAGCAGGATGCAAGGAACCCAAAGATTCACTCTTTATTCCACTTGTATGCATTTTTCACCCTCTCTCCCTTTTTCCCCCTGATTTCTTTGCTCTTTTCGACCCTTCCAGTCCTCTCCTCCCTCGCCCCCTCAAAAATGGAGGAATTTTGGCTTGTGCTCGACTCACGGCTGACTTCCCTCGCCTTTGCGACTTATAGCTACGTTGTTTATGGCCAGAAACCCAAGAATTAAAGCTTCCGGCTAATTTGCTTCATCATTATGACATTACGATATGAGATGTCGGAGCCTGCGTTTAGAGCGTGCGCGCATGTATGCATAGATTGTAACCCCCCTCATACATTTGTGCCCCTAGGTGAAGATGTTAATGAAACCAGTCATATTTCATTATCTCCTTTTGATTTATATATTGATGTATTTAAGACTGCCGTGGCTGATGAATGTTTGATTTCAGTGCGTTTGAAAGACATAGAAATCGATGTAAATGTGATGTGATGGAAGCAGAGATACATAAGGCTTTGATTATATCTGGTGTAAAAATAGACATGTCCTTGCCTTGTAGGTGTTCACGAGATTTACACACTATTCGGCAGCAGTGCCAATGACCATCACGAGTTGGATGCGAAGCGCGCCATGGACGGAAACTTCTCAGAGGCATGCTCAGAGAATAATTTGAGCAATTGAGCGTTGTAATGAAGATTTACATTAGTTTCCCTGTGCTCATCCGCGAAAACATGTTTTTTCCCCTCAGCAGCTTGATAATTGTATGGGTAAACGCTCGAGTGCTTGCTGTGTTTTTGTTGGCCGTTACGGCCGTTGCGGTTAGTGTTGGGGGTCCCGGGGATTGATCGGCCCTTCTACCAGCAGCGCTGGTGGTGACTGAGCTCTTTTGCCCCAGTAGCCTACAGGTTATGAGACTGTTAAGCGTGAGCCCCGCTGTGGTCAACATGCATGGGTTCAATCCCAGGATGAACTTAAGAAAATCCCAAAACAAATACCCCGGACATTTAACAGTGCCAAGAGACATCCTAGGAGTGTGCTTTAGAAGTGAGCCCTTGAGCCCTAGAAGTGAGTCCAAAAAGAAAGACTGCTGAGAGGAGTCACTAAGAGGAGCCACTGAGAGGAGCAACTGAGAGGAGTCACTGTACTCTGTGGTTAGCTGGTCTGAGAGGGGGTGTTGAGAGTTCTGGGGGTTGATCGGCTCTTCTACCAGCAGCGCTGGTGATGACTGAGCTCTTTTGCCCCAGTAGCCTACAGTTAGCGATCCCATCAGATCACGTGACCCATCACTATATTATGTTCTTGTAGATAGATCTATCAATACAACCTTTAACTATTCTACAGATTATAGCCTGAATAACATGTTTTTCTTTTTAGAACATTGTATCAACAGTTTTAATAAGAGTAGTTTATCTTTTTTAAAAAGACTCTTACTTTTTATTAGAGATATTTCATTTTCTCTGAATTTATCAGTCAGTAGATTCATATACTTTTAACTTTTAAAAAGTATGTTTTCTATTATAAAGAATATCATTTTTTTTTACATATTTAAAAGAAGCAGAGTCATCTTAATATGAGTAATATATCTGTTACTTCAGAGTTCAGCTTAAGACTCAGAATCACTCACTTTACTAGATAACTTATTAATAGAATAATTACTTATTATAAGAAAGTTTCTGAGTTATAAGATAAGACTAATGTCAGTTTTTACTAAAGTATGAAATTTAATGATGAAATAATGAAGAAGTTTCAGAATAAAAAAAAGCAGAGTTAATATTTATTTATAGAATCTATTTATTTTAACTTATTAAATTCTTTACTATCTCTCACTCTCAGAATACTGACTTTGAATAATGATCTGAATCAATCTATCTATTACATCACAGATAATCTTATGAATCTTATACAGATAATACTTCAGAATTAAATAACTGTGACTGATATTATATAATATCTCACTACATCTGTCTCTGTATAAAGAGATATTATGAGAAATGAATTACAGAAATATTAGAAGAAAGTTAAATATATATTAGATATTAAATCAGTGATTACATTTGATAACTTTAATTATAAAGCCTGATATATTAATATGTTAACTAATATGAAAGTTATTAATGAAACTGTCACGCTCCCGGCCGCGTCAAGGCCTCATTGCGGTTTCACACGGCTCATCACTTTCATGTGGATAATTTCATTCTGTCTGAACTGGTTTCCAACCACTCTATAACATCATTCAGATATATCATAGAAAGATCTGATTGATGAATATGAGAACTCTGCTTCTATACAAGGTCAGCAGATTACTTTTCCTTAGCAGTGAGATGTCACTGAGGTATTACTCTGACTATTCTCACTCATGAAATAAGAGAAGATATTCACTCATTATCTATATAGAATAGCTAGATGCTGGCTTCTTATAAAAGAAATCAGTGATTTATTTTTCTCTCACTGAAATATATATAAGAGTTACTACATATCTCATACAATCTTCTTAGTATACTAAGTATTATATCTGTGATATTCTTACAATAACTCTGTAGTCTATAAGCTTGCTATTTAAGCAAGATAGTCAAGCTCACTTATATAGCTTCTTAAATAACTATCTCTATATAACACTGCTGACTAGTCACTGCTTCAGTTTCAATATATTATAATTTGAATCACTTGATCTGATTATAAGTTTGAATCAGTTAAGCTCTAACAGACTGATATAATCTTATACACTTACACTGAGACTAATCTAATCTCACTCTCTGAGAGAAACACTATATCATTCTCTAAAGTGTGTATATCTCTACTTTGACAGAAATCTGAGATTTCTGAACTCACTGTATATTTTGACATGAGCTCTTTAATTACTCTGTCACTGTTATAGCCTCTACACATCTACATCTATTATAAAGATAGAGAGATTAAGATCAGAGATTCTCTGAGATATAAGAGAAACATCTTATCTGAATTTCACAGCTTTACTCATATTCTTGAACAGAAATTTCATCTTAATCTGAGTCAGTATAATACTTATAAGATATAAGTAATATATATTATCAATCTTCTTAAAGGCATCTCTGCAACTACTTGAGTTATTAAGAAGAGAGAGCTTGAGTATATCAATACTGTTATAACTTAAGAAGAATTCAAGAACTTTCTACTGAATTAAATTAAAGATTACTATAATCACAGCTTCACAGCAGTGCAGTAGTTCAACTCATTATATTAATAAGATAATAAGAATTCTTTCAATTTCAATATAAGATTTGAAGAATATTGAGAGGAATTAATCAATGATTTGAATTAATTAAAAACACAGCTTTATCTTATAAAGCTGACTTATAAGATGTGAATAATAATATTATAATATCAGAGTTTATTAATCAATTGCACTGAGCTTGTTAATCTGACTTTCTGAATCTATTTGAATAATTAATTCTCTGAGAAAAAGATTAATAAGATCTCTTCTAAGTAACTAATAACAGAATCTAAACAGTGTTATAACAGCTTCAGTGTGAAGAAAGTAAAGAAGAATTCTAAGTATTCTGATTCTTCACTCACTGTAAAGAAATACTAAAAAAGATTTGATAAAGATCTCTATTTTAACTGTAAAGCTGATGATTACTATATCAGTAATTATAAGAAGTCAAAGAAGAGAAGAAACTGAGAAGATATCTTCTTAAAGTTAACTTCTCTTCTGATAAACATATCTGTGAATGATAAAGAAGAGAAAGAAATAAAGAATTAATAATTCTCATATCTCTGAGTTCATATTACAATCACAATACATACTCTGAATAAGAAGATATTAGTAAGATATCTACTTGACTCTGAGATAGATATTAACTTCATATTCTATTTCTTTTTTTTAATAAAGAATTGAAAGAAGATAGATTCATCAGATTATGTGAAATTTACTGATGAAATAAAATATCACTGTTTTAGCATAATTTAAGCAAAGTGTGTAATCACAGACTTAGAAGAAATCTTTAAGAAGAGCAGTCTGCTTCTTCATACAGTTAATATCATAGATAAGAATGTCATTCTAGATCTCTTATAATTAAGAGAAAATAATTCTCTCATTGACTGAGTCACTCAGATATAACAGTATCATCTTACTAATAAAGAGATAGTGATAGAGAAATCTGAAGAGTTTCATCAGAAGAATCTTGAGAAAAAGATTGAGTTGATATACTATATAGCAGGTGACTGAAACTTGAAAATAGATGAAGAAGTTATCACTCTCACTGTAAGATTAGCAGTAGTATCTATCATTGAAAGCAGACATATACAATATCTCTTTACAGATTTTAAGAATGTCTTTTTGAAAAGAGAAGTAGTGAAGTTTTCTGATATTAAGATATAATATAAGATTTATCTTGAAGACAGTGCAATGACACTGTATAGATCTCTTTACAACTTATCTGTAAAGAAATTGAATATTCTGTATAAATATCTTGAAGAAGTGCAATTAAAGAACTGAATATATTTATCAAAGAGTTCAGCAGAGACATCTATACTCTTTATACTCAAGAAGAATGATAGACTATATCTATATATAGACTACAGAGACCTTAATAAGATGACAGTTAAGAATTACTATTCATTATCATTAATTGATGAGATGATTGATTGATTATCTGAAGTAAAGATGTTCTTAAAGATTGATATATAAAATATCTATCATAGAATCAGAGTTAATGAAAACAATGTTTGAAAAACAGCTTTTCATATCAAGTATAATAATTTTAAATATCTTGTTTTATCTTTTAATCTTTGTAACACTTCAGTCATCTTTCAGATCTATATAAATGAGATATTACAGAGTCTTGTTAATATCTTCTGTATAGTATATCTGAATAACATTCTAATCTTCTCAAAATCAGAGAAAGAATATGATACTCATGTTTGAGAAGTATTGAGTCACTTGAGACAGTATTAACTCTATACAAACACTGAAAAATACTTGTTCTATATACAGAAGATTGATTTCTTAGATTATATTATTGAGATGAATGACATTTCAATGAATAGAAGCTGAGTCTTCATTATTGAGAACTGATCAGTGTCACAGATATACTGTAAGATATAAATGTTTCTAGAATTTATGAATTTCTACAGATGATTTATCTATACATATTCACAAATTACTACTTCTCTTACAGATCTGTTAAAGAGAAGTGTGAAAGATAGAAAAATGAGACTGTTTATTCTCACTCAAGATACTGTGCAGATATTTG